GCACGTAAGTCAGAGAGTGCAAACCTGTAACCGTTGCCTGCACCCGACCGTACCCAACTGTAACCACCAGTTATGGCTGGGGTTGGGTACCCTTCCAAAGGGGTAGTTGGGTCTGGGCAGGCAAAAAATAATAGTGGTCGTTGTTAGGGCACTCACAGTCGCCCTTATGGAGATCACGGGCGGATAGGGGCACGTAGGGAGAGGGGGAAGGGGGGAAACCCCTGGTATGGGTGGCCAAAAAGGAAAATAAAACGGGTATGGAAAACGTACGGGCGGCAAAAAAAAAACCTGGTATGGGTACGGCCAGGTAGAGGTTCCTATCGGTAGCCATGGTATACCTACTGCCTACCGATTCCAACCCGCAACCCAGCGACCCCCCCCCCACCTCTACCAACCACCACAAATTCTAAGCCCGAATTGTTTTCTCCCACTGCCTCGTCAAAAGTACCAAACGGCCAATTTTATTTCTTTTTGTTCACGCCGTCAGGGCACTGCATTGTTGAAAGGCCAAAAGTTTCCCAACTTCGAGTTGGGCCTTTCAAGTGGGCCTCGCTCCACCACTTGCGAAATGCAAGAAGAACAAAGAAAGGCAGTGTATCTTCCCATGTTCCAGCGGATGATTCATTCTTATTTTCAACCTTTCACGAGTAGTGGAGTGAGGCCCATTGCCTCCTGCCCGTTTTCTATTTTGCCTCCCACCCCTTCCCGTCGGGGCGGTTCCGCACGTCGGGAGGTTGTGGGCTCGAGCCCCATGAACGCCTGCGCGCACTTAGTGCCAACCACCTAAAAGAGATGGCTATCACTTTTGTATTAGTAGTTGGATTGCTTACTCTTGCCAAGTTTCCATGCAGATGGAGATCATTCATGATTGCATTCGTAGTGTTGTTCCAGTGAGTGCAACCTTCCGTTTACCTGTTCTTTTTCCCCATTCTCTTTTCTTTTATTCCTGCATCTTCTGTACGAAACCGGATTTCACAGCTTCTGTCCGCCTGGATTAGCACCCCCATCCCTCCGGGAAAAAAAAAAAAAAAAACAGAAATAAAAGAAACGAAATAAGAAGACAAACCGCACAAGCGCATCGCACGGACAACCGCAAATCACATGGCAAATCCTAATGCCCCCCGACCAAAAATCTTTCTTTTGCACCTAAGTGCCACACTGTTGTTCTCATTCACTCCAACAGCAAAGATCCCAACGGCCTTTATTTCTTTTGCACCTAAGTGCCATTCAGGAGGTGGTGCGTGCAGGCCCAATGACCGCCTGCGGCACACTCAGGGCCTCATCCCACCCTACTTCCAGTTCCAAAATTGATTCTTTTTTGCATATCCTACCTCGTTCCATAACCAAAGGAGGCTCCAGTAGCAACGGAGGTATGCGGAAACGTGACCAGGCCCAGCCTCCTGGGAGCGAATAACGGGCGTCTCCTTCGGCCAAAATCCGAAAAGACGTCTGCTCGTACTCTCTTCCCAAAAGATGGTGCATTTTTAGATTGCTTTTTTTTTTTTTTTTTTTTTTTTTTTGGGTTGTGGGGGGGGGGGGCTGTTGTCAGGCCTGGTTTGTCCTAGCCCAACAAATCCAGCTGCCACTTACGCAAAATTTCCTTGAATGGCGGGACGGTGGAGTACGATTCGTCTTCCACTACCGGATTGCTACGGCCGCTTCTTTCTCGTTTCTTTTACACTTCTACTTACGGTAAGTTGGGTGGGATGAGGCCCTTAGTCCCAACCACCTAAAAGAGATGACTCTCACGTTTGTAACAGTACTCGGATTGCTGACTTTTCCGAAGGTGGAGATCATGATTGCATTCGTACAGTCTTGTTCTCACAATGCCCCCCAAAACAATTGCTCTCTTTTGCAACTAACTGCCACTCAGAGAGTNTTCGTACAGTCTTGTTCTCACAATGCCCCCCAAAACAATTGCTCTCTTTTGCAACTAACTGCCACTCAGAGAGTGGTGGGATCGAGCCCTGTCACCGCCTGCAGCGCACTTTGACACGCCCCTGTCCCCGAACAAATTCTGGTGAGTGCAACCTCCCATTTACCTTTTTTTTTTTCCTTCCCTTTTCTTTCACTTCCACAGCTTCTGTCCGCCTGGCTTCCAGCCAACGACCTTACAAAAAAAAAAGAAAAAAAAAAAGAGGAGAACACAGTAGAAAACGGAAAAGAAAGAACAGTACTCGGATTGCTTACTCTTGCCAAGTTTCCGTGCAGGTGGAGATCATGATCGCATTCGTACAGTTGCAATGTTTTCGCAATGACCCCCCCCCAAAAAAAATTCTTTTGCACCGAAGTGCCATTCAGAAGGTGGTGGGTTCCAGCCCTATCACCACCCCGCGGCGCACTTGACCACGCAGCCGTCCCCAAAAAAATTCCAGTGAGTGCAACCTTCCGTTTACCTTCTTTTTTTTTTTCCCTTCTCTTTTCTTTTATACTTTCGCAGCTTTTGTACAAAGACGGATTTCGCAGCTTCCGTTTACCTGTTTTCATCGTTTGACCGCCTGGATTCGAATCCCCGTCCTTCAAAAAAAAAAAAAAAAAAACAGAGAAACAAAAACAAGCACAAAACAGAAGAAAACAGAAACGAAAGAGGCAGAAGACGACAAAACGGGCAAGCACATCACATGTCCAACCGCAAACCACGCGGCAAATCTTTACATCGAACGCTCCACAACAAAAAAGCCGCATCGCACGCCTACCAAACCACATTTCGCATCGCACGCCTACCAAACGACATTCACATCGCACACTCCAAAATCGCCTTCACAAATTTGCTGCAAAATCCTGCTAATGGAGGTATTCCTGCCAATGAAAACATAGTAATAGACATTGTAATAGCTAAAATAGGATTCGTCAATGCTAACCCGGCTAAATCCTCTATATATTTTAAACGATTTCGGCGTAAAGCTAAAACTATTCCAAATACATCGATGGTCATTATTACATAAATGAAAACACCTCGCTAACGTGGCAGACTTTCGCACCACGAGAACACCGACGCGGCCAAACGCTGGCGAAGCGATGTAAATAGAGTCCCGCATCGCAAGGCCAAAGATCCCTGTTGACAAAAAGGAAAGAGCCCGCGGCTGGTAGGTCTTAGAACATTGTAGGAAGACATTCAGCAATTGCAAAGGTTACTTTTACAAGCTCTTCTTCCTCTTCTTCTTCTTCTTCTTTTCTGTTTGTTCGGACCATTTCTCTGTTGTGTGTCGTCCATGCACAGGGGTCATGCTAATAATTAATCTTCTCTGTACCATTCCGGACTTAACGGATGTGATGTCCCGAAAGGACAGGTTACTTCTAGAAGCCAATTTCCTTTGAATTGACAAATTGTGCACACCTCTGCAAAGAGGAGAGAAACATAACCGAAGACAGCGTACATATTTTACCTCCTCCCGCCAACTTATGGGAAAAATTCCAAAACATTCAGCAGCTGTCAGGAGAGAAAAGAAAACAGATGCCCGTTCCAATTTAATCAGACCGTAGTTCTCAAAAAAAGAAGAAAAAAAAAGAGCTTCAAAAAAGAAAGAAAGAAAGAAAGAAAGAAAGAATCGAGACTGAGCTTTCCCGTCAGCAAGAAGATGAACGACTCTCCTGCTAGTGAAAAAAGAATCGAATGGTTCTCATGAGCTAGCGACCACACAGGTAGTATCCACTAAGACAAAACAGAACACTCGGCATTCATTCCAGCGACTGGCAGCAGAAACGAATGCCCGCTGCAATTAAGTGAGCGACCATATTTACCATGTCCAGGGCTCCGCGCACTACGGTTCAAACCTCAGCTACTACAAGAACGAACCAACGACTACTAGGCTGCTAGAGGAGAGGATCTGATGGTTTATTAAGACTGCTAGAGGAAAGGACGCTGATGGTTCCCATAAATAGCAACCATAGTGGTAGCAGACAGATATGCCAGATAGACGAAAGAGGGGTTCTTCAAGAGGGTTGGAGGGTCCAAAAACTTGAAACCCACCATTTCATTTCATAACAGTTCTTCAAGGGGGGTGTTTGAAGGGTCGAAAACTCGAAACCCGGCATTTCATAACAGTTCTTCAAGGGGGGGGGGGGGKGCAGGGTGAAAAACTCAAAACCCACCATGCTAGAGGGGAAATAAACTGGGCAAAAAGAGGTATCGTGCAGAAACCAACCCCCAGCCAAAGGGGTCGAAGGGCGGAAGTCGAAGGGCGGAAGTGCCCACTCTGGTGAGTGTTGAGCAACATATGGGCCTAAAGAGGTCTGTCAAAGCCCAGGCAAAGGGCCTAGGGGTGTCTCTCATACACTAGGCAAACGGCTTAAAGCTGTCTCTCATGCCCCCAGTTCAAAAGGGGCCTAAAAAATTTTCTCATACCCCAGGAAAACGGCCTAAAGACGTCTCTCAAACCCAGAAAAAGGGCCTCAAAATGTCTGTCGTATACCCTGGGAAAACGGGCTAAAGATGTCACTCATGCCCCAGGCAAAGGGCCTTGGGAGACGTCTCTCGTAACCCCCACGCAAAGTGCGTAACATGTCTGCCTCGACATGTTCCTCGTTTACCTCAAGACAAGCGCCAAAAGAAGTCCTTCACACCCTTGGCACACAAACTCGAGAAATGTGTCTCATATCCCCCTGGCAAAGGCCATAAAGATGTCTGTCACATCCTACCTACTCATTCACAATATGTGGAGAGGCAATCGACCCAGAGGGCAGAGGGGAACCCTTAGCGCAGAGGGGAACGCTTTCCCACATCAATCTCACATGAACTGACCAACTGAATCATTCACAGGATTGGCAGAAGAGCCATCAGACCTGCAGATTGCAGATCCAATTGCCACAGTCATTATGGGAGGAATGCAGGGACATGAGCAGAATCAACAAGGATTCACATTCAAGGAACATCGTGCCCGCAGCTGAACTGACTACCATCACACCATATACGCCAATGTCCAAAAAAGGAAATGAAAACAGACTACGAAATACCAACTCGCTACTGCCCAATAAAGCATGCCGTCCGCCACAATAAACTAGACTTGGAAGAATGCTATCAGACAGACAGACAGACAAACAGACACAGAGAGAGAAAGAGAGAGAGAGAGAGAGAGAGAGAGAGAGAGAGAGAGAGAGAGAGAGAGAGAGAGAGAGAGAGAGAGAGAGAGAGAGAGAGAGAGAGTACCTTCTTATTACTTCCATACTTGACGAATGCCTCTCCACAGAGTTCCTTCCTCCGAGGGTTTTCCATAACCATGGATGCACATGGGACCAAGTTAATACAGTACGTACGGCTTGTCGTGTCGGACAAATGCCATCATCACGAAAAACCGACACCTCCGACAAGACCCATTGTCACATCGCTGACAAGCAAAACAAGCAGCGCAATGAAACATGAGCCAGATAAATAGAAGTCAGCCCCCATTTACAGGACTATGAAAATACAAGTCTTCCGTTACCGGAAAAAAAAAAAAAAAAAAACATCGAGTGCTTATATTCAATTTCTCTCCATCCCTGGCACCAGCAATACAGGCAGAGGAGAGAGAAACTGACAATGACCCCCTTGCCGCATCGCAGGTGACCCCTCTGTGATGCCAACCGTCTCCCAATTTGTTGCCAATGCCCTTAACATAAACATGACCAATTGCAGTGCTCACCCCATAAGTTGGTCCCCTGTACTCCATGTGCAGTGCTCACCCCACAAGTCCAAGAACCCTTGTCTCAGACGAGATCCTCCATAAAGCTTAAGAAGTCGGCGAAAGGCATGGGTCGTAACGTCTGAAGCCTCGTCCGAATTCCAACGGGACCCAGACTTCAATGTCGGGAACAGCTTGCTTGGGGTCTACACCCACCATTCACGGTCTTCGGGGTACAACATCAGAAGTTGTGAAAAAAAAAAATAAAAAAAAATAGAACGGTGGAACTGACGCCCCGCAAAATAGAAGGGGCTGTCTTGTTTCGGGAGGCCAACGTGGATTTGGGTTCTGAGTAACCCGTCACTTACAGCCCAAGCCACTCTGGAATTGGGAGAAAGGAGGAGGGGGAGGGGGTTGCTGGAGGGGGGGGGGAGTATAAAAGCACATACATACTAAGAGGGGGGGGGTCCATCACAGAGTCCCCGGCCATTATTCTCTGTCTGCTGCAGTAGTTCTGCATGACAAGCAGGATGGACCCCTATGTCAAAGATGGGGTGTGGCCGGTGTGGAGTGCGGTATGGGGTTTAAACACCTACCTGACTCTCAACCTTTGAGAGTGATACAAGGCGAAGATTTCAAGAAATCAGCCCCGGCTCGTCTCAAGCACAATCCTCTCTGTAGCTTTCTGCTTTGCAAATACTCCCAGCTGCCATTTGCCCGTTCTTCTTCCTTCGACCATCTCTCGATCTATGTGTGTGACCCTCGTGCAGGTGCCATCAGGATGCCGATTTACACAGATGTCCCCATTCTTCGATTGTTGGTATCGCTGTCAGTGATGAGACAACACAATGAAGGCTGCACGTTATGGGCCAGAGAATCTACAAGCCTGGTCATCTTTCAAGGCAGTTCGGAATCGGAAGCAGCAGTTGCTTACGACCGGCTATTTGCTTACCCATATGCACAACCGTCTGCAGAGACCACGACTCCAGTTCACCTCGTTTGACCGCTATGAACGACGGCCGTTTGCGAACCCGAAGCTTGCTGTGTTAATTACAGCTGTGCACAATATCGATCATAATATCACCACAGGTTTCAATGCTGGCCTGTACCAAAGCATCATGCCACGTCAGTCCAAACCTCACATAGCCACTGTGGCAGCCTCTGCTTATCAATTTCTTCAGAAGCCAAAAGTTTGCCCCGTTTGACCGCTATGAATGACAGCCGTTTGCAGACGCGAAGCTTTTGCTGTGTTACATCTGTGCACGATATCGATCATAATACTCCAGGTGCCAACGCAGCGCTGTTCCAAAGCATCATGCCACGTGAGTCCAAACTTCACATAGCCAGCATTGCGACCTCTGCTCCTCAGTTTCTTCAAAAGCCGAAAGTACATGATCCAGCAGTAGTTCCATTGCGCCCTCCCTCGGAGTTCACCGATCTCTTTAACCCCCATCGTCTCCCCATGGTGGATTTACAGTGGCATGGAGTAGTTTAAGCAGGTTCGCAGAATGCAGATCATCAGGCGACCAGCTGGTTGGAGAGGTGGCGGAAGTTGTTAACACGACAGCAGGGGACAGGTAAAAAAAAGAATAAAGATTACCCAGCAGCATCGGCACTGAGGAATTGGGCAGCCACTAGCGGGCTGAGGAAGCTGGTCACAGGCAAGTAAAGTATACGTCCAGATCTGCATTATTCTCCTCATCTTTTGTATATGACCCTGTGTAAGGGACGCTGGAGGTGTTGCTCCCCCCCACCAAAAAATCGGAGCCAACAGATGGCCTGCTGGTGGTGGGTGTTCGTTTCACCATCACTAGCAGGGCCAACTGGTGTTTTCGAACAAAAAAAAAAAAAAAAAAAAAAAAAAAAACATAGATACATATACGCATGGCCAGCATACATACATATATACCGTTGCCCTTTCCACCATCAGCTCACAACTGTTGCTCCTCTCTCTTGCATCATTTGCTGCATGGCCAGTATATCCTATCCCATGGCAACCAGGCAAATGCAGTCACCTCCGACCTGCTGTGTTTCTCAATCCTTGACGACTTGGGCTCGTCCTCGAACTCTGTCTACAATCAGTACTACCCTTCTGCAGCATGTTACACTGTTGTATCGACTTTATGCTCTCAGACAAGTTCGGCTCCTCCTCGACATCGACATCTGCACCGCATCGATGTTCCATTTCATTCTGCAGCGTGCTGTACCTTGTCATACTGGCTTCAATTTCCCTCGTCTCCATCTCTTTCCCATTCCTCACCTCCGTATCCTGCTGATTTCCCCCCTCCTTGACAATGCCACATGGCCTGTAGATACTGCAGAACGTGCAATACCATTTTTTTTTCCCGGAAGCCGCTAACGCACTCTGCTGCCATGCCGTGCCTGCTCGCTGCAAGTTGTGATGCCTTTCTCGGTTGTGACCTGGGTCTATCCTTTTTCGTCATAGATCCTTCCCTGTAAGTTGAGTCCTCCTGAAGCAACCGACGTCGCTAAGCCTTTTTGGCCTCCTTGTCTTATCAACAACATTTGCAAGCTGCAAACAAAGGTGGACATGTCATGTCGGAAAGCGACCAAAAATGGTTTTAATAAACCTCTCGGGATGGGTATACACAGAGAAGCACAGACTTCGGAGTTGTCAGAACTTCACTACTTCTCAGGCTGAGGCTGTCTTACATAAAACAACCACAATAGCCATGGGAGCAGGTCACCAGGACTACTGGCGAAAGAAACACAGAATGAATTGCATGCTCAAAATGAGCCACCACGAACGGACGTCTCCTCATTGATCCCACACAGGCTCTTTTCAGAGGAGGCTTATTGCGTCTACAAAACGACGGTGACCTCTTAGACTATGCTGTATAGGCAAGTCGCAATTGGGTAGGGGCCAGCAATACGCCAGTCCCAATACTACTCTTGTTCCGTTTACCTCCCACTTGTCTACTCACCATTCTCGGAAACTTATTGTGTCAACATAACAATGGAGACATCTGTAGACTCTGGTGCTGTGTGTACTAAGCTGCATCGATGAGTAAAAATGGAGTAGAGCCCACCGACAGACAGTCCCAATGTTACTTTGCGATCCGTTTACCTCCTCATCAACCCAGCACACACCTGGCTCCTCCTCCTCGTCCTTGTGTACATCCCAAGGAGCTGATACGCTCACCATAACTAATTGCCCAACAGCTATAAGTCCACTACAAGCTCGCATTGTCACACAAATAATGACCTCCTCGCCGTTCAATGCCCCTTCTTTAGCAGTTCTTTGCGGAGACAAAATGTGTCTGAGGAAAGAATCCAGATAACTTAGAACAGCCATTGCCACCAGGCTGAAGGCCAGCCATTACCTTCTACACTGAATTGTGTATTGAGAGTAATAACTGCATGAAGGCTAGCAATGCCAGTCTCAAGACCTGTCCTACTACCACTAACTCAACCGACCACCCTCTTCGCTCCTCCTCCTCCTCCTCCTCCTTTACCCCCCAGGACTTGCCCCAAACCCTAACTCAACCAACCACCCTTTTGGCTCCTGCTCCTTCTCCTCCTCCTCCTTTTCCTCCTCCTCCTCCCCCACTCCTCCTCCTGCAGACTGAAACTGTTGATCGAACTGGCACTGAACCTGAAATTTGAGGGATATGCAGTATACCACTGCAGGAACTCGTTACAGTGACATATTTGTCAAGTCAGTCAGCTACCAAAGTATAGCCGCGGGGGCAGGACCATAATAGGATCTGATTCAACAGACCAGGGGCTGCTGTATGCAAATGGGTCCAGACCGGGTGGCATCGCCATCTCGCCCTTAGAAATAGCACGACTTGCGGTTTGTTGCAATGGTGTTGACAAAAGGTATGGTCCTGTCAGAGACGAAGTTTGGGAGTCTGTTCCACCACAATATGAACTCATCCCAGGTCGAGATGTGTCCCTCGAGTCCGTTGATGTTGATGACGGACTTGGTGGGAATGATGTGTAGTACAGTTGTTGTCCGTCGGATATGCTCCAGACAAGTGAGGGCTGTTGCTGCAACCCCGTGGCTGAGTTGTTGCCTGCTACACTGCTGCTGGGCCCTCCTGTTTGTTGCCTCACAGCATCCTGCGCAAGCGCTTGCCTCAGTTCCTTCTGAAGAGCGGAAAGAGCCCTCAGCACAACCTCTGTGCGTTGGTCAGCAGAACAATCCATCTCTGAAGACGTCGTCCCATCCGTTCCTCCTCTCCCGTTCAATCTGCCATTCACATCTGCTGAACCGGCACCACTACCACCTCCTCCCCCTGGCAAGCTCACTGACTGGGAAGATGTACCAGATCCTGCTGAGGCCAGTGCCAGAGCAGGGGGGGATGAGTTCCTTCCCTGAGGGATTTCCAGGCTTTTTGGCCGGCGACGGAAGTCAGTCTGCGCTAGCCGTTTCTCAGATTCCTGACAACCTGTGAGGTCTCGCTCAAGGATCAAGCTCTCTTGCTGCTGCTCTTCAGTGCCGCATAACTGACTGCCATTACCTCCGTCCGAGTTCTGACTCCCTTCTTTCCGAAGAGCTTCAGGACTGTCACCTGCCTGGCTGTTATGGGAAAACCTCTCTGCAACAGAGGTAGGATCTCTGGGCGAGGGTAAATCTTTGACATCCTCTGCAGACGCCATCGTCGCCCGGGACACTCTCTCTAGAACTTCGTCACACACCTCGTTTGCTAAAACAACATGGCGACTTTCCCGCGAACCCTCTCTCTCTGTAGATTTCTTCTTCCCAGGATCAATGTTCTCTGACTTGCCTTTTCCCATTTCAATCTGACTGGGAATGTCAGACTTTCCCTGTTCTCTCTCCGTAAGGGGCGCAGTCTTATTCACAAGACTGTTTCCCCACTCCGCTAGAGCAATACGAGCTGGAGACTCCAGTCCTCCCTGCAAATCATGTCATCAGCAAATCAGAGACGTTAATAAAAAAACAAGTGGACGCCCACCGGACACGCAGTGGGGATCATCAGGGAGGGGCAGTCAAATGCATTCAGGAAAGCCGCAGTGTGAGCACGCTCTCAATGTCGTTGTTCGGTAAGCACTGCGGGTTGGCTATCTGCTCATATTCGAACAGTCAGCAGTGGCTCCTCGACGCAAAACGACAAAAAGTGAAACACACCCCTCCCAAAAAGAAAAAAAAACGAAAATAAGCCGGTGTATCTTTCCATGTTCAAGCTCAAGATTCATTCTCATTCTCCTCGTTTGTCAAGTAGTCGAGAGAGGGCCGTAGGCCCTTCCACACAAAGCGACAAAAAGTGACCTTCCCCCACCAAAAGAAACCTAAAAAGAATATAAAGGCGGCCAATCTTTCCATGTTCCAGCTCAAGATTCATTCTCATCCTCCTCGAGAGTGTGCGCCCGTTGAAACATGAAACACCCTTACTTCTCGACTCAGTATAACGACTCAGCAGTCACTATGTACGCAACGGCCCTACCACAACTGTTTGCGGTTATCTCGGGCCTGCCCCGCCTCAACCACCTTTCCCAATACTGCGGCAGGGTCTTGCATGGGACCGTCACACGAGACCCGCTCTTTTCTTTAACAGTATATATATACAAGCAAGCTCACACACATGCATGCCAATCAAGTAGAAGAGTGGGTATATATCGGGAAGCTAATCGGGCCGGGTGCCATCATGATCAGGGGGGGGGTCGATCGAAGGGCGGGGGAGGAGATTCCTTCTTTCAAATTTCCTTGGGATTACCTTCGAGTGAGGACCACACTCATCAACATCCCAGGAGCTCTTTTTTGCAGGGTCTGATGGGCATCCTGCCGTCAATCGGTCCTGATTCGTCCGCCAAACCAGGGAGTTGGTCCTGGACTTTTAGCTGTGCCTCCTCGTGCGGTCCCATTTCCGCGTCCGGTAGGCCGGAGTAGTGTCTGGTGGATTTTCTCGCCCTGTTGACCAAAACCGGTCAGGCCGGTACTTGTTTCCATGTCCTTCTCCCTGGGCGCTATTCTTAGGTGGAAGGGGATGGGGTAGGGGACCCCCGACCCCAGATGCCGTGGTTGCTTTCCCCCTCCTTTTCTTCGGAACATACCCCCCTTACCTTGGGGTCATGGATGTGTCCTTTGTGCTACTTCCTTATGTCAGCTGCTGACCTGTTTCATGTGCGTGTGTGTGTGTGTGTGTCTGTATGTTGTGTGTGTGTGTGTGAGAGAGAGAGAGAGAGTTTTCCAGCCATGCACACAGAGAAATAGAGAGAGGCTACTTCCATCGATAGGATGAGCAAAATCGGAATGAATCTTCCACTAGAATATGGAAATATACACTGTTTTCCAGCCATGCGTGCAGAGAGATAGAGAGAGGCTACTTCCATCGATAGGATGAGCAAAATCGAATGAATCTTGCACTAGAACATGGAGATATACACTGCCACACTTGTAGATTCAGTCCACAAACCCGCGGCCAAAAAAGACCCTGTTCATAAAACCGTGCCAACAGCAGCCTTCCGCTCGAGTGTTCCACACGATTGTTGCACAATTGCGCCGCCTGAACTCCATTCACACAGGCCCCAAACCAACCTCGGCCCGAACAGTGGCCGCCAGACTCTAAAACAAAGTGCAAGAAAAGCAATATTTGAACACTCACCGCCAGACTTGAAACGATAGTCGGGTGCGAAAAAAAAGAACCACGGAAAAATGATGTTCGAACACTCGCCGCCAAACTGGAAACAAAAGTCGGGCACTGCAAAAAAGAGGCTTGGCCCGAACCGACCTGGGCCCAACTGGGAGCGGGGTCTCGCGTGGGAAGCGTTACAAGAGACCCGCTGTTTGCTTTAAGAGTAGAGAGATATAGGGAAAAAGAAAAAGAAACATTTTAGGCGATACAGACCTCAGTGTTGTCAACATTACTTTGCCACACACCCTACAGTTCTCGGACTTTTTTCACAAAACCTACCTGC